AAAAGACTCAGCTAACCAGAGATGTGAGAGAGAAATTGTTTTATACTTCAGGGCAAATTGAACCCTGCAATGGGGATCTGCATAGACAGGAAGAGGAGGAAATTTGGGAGGGCTTTGTTTTCTTCACCAAAAGTATCTGTTTACACGCATGTGTGGATGGGAGTTAGGTGCTGTTACTGGATCTGCATTTTCTGGCTTTAAATGAATTTGGACTTCACCATAGCCTTAGCCTGGGCTGAACTGGGATAAAGCAATAATAAACTCAGGCCTCTGTAGTGCTTCATTAGTTTTAAAAATGGGCCATCAGCATTTTTGGGCTTCAGAACTCCAAGCTCTGCTCTTTGCTCCTTGAATGGGATTATCTTTTAAATTCTGTTTTGTTTTCCCAGAAAGGATGGAGAATGATGTTTTCTACACAAATCTCTTTCCTTTTCATTTGTTGTTTTATTGAAAGAGATTTGTACAAGCTGACTTTACACTTCTGGAGCTGCCTCTGTTGGTGCTGTGTCTCCTGGACCCCACTGCCAGCAGCAGCAGCCTGGTTGAGACCAGGAACCACTAGCATTTTTTTGGAATCACGGGCCTCTGTTCTAACATATTTTATTTAGTGGGAGAATGTTTGTTACCCTGGTGGGAATTTTTCATTTACATGGATGCCTTATGATGATTGTCAAATTAAACTAAGCTTTGTGACAAGTTCAGCCTTTTGGGCATTTTTTTGGCGTCCCTGCTCTAAGAGCTAACTTGGTACATTGTCTTTGTTTTGTTCTTTTCTGGGGTGCAGCACAGAGGGACTTTGGAAGCTCTTTGAAAGCCACACAGGAAGGTGCTGGAGAGGTGGCAAAAGCAAACAATCAAAAATAAATATTATCTCTTGTTACTACAACTGACTGAAATACATCAGCCCAGCTGTGTGTTTGCACAGACACCCATCATTGCAAGGAGATGCTGGCTGAACTGAACAGGCTGTTTCCTGGTTAAAGAACACAAGATGTATGTTAGTGTTTCTGCTCTCATCTCTGTGAGATCCCATCAAATGGCTTTTGACCTAGGACTTGTTTTCTGAAACACTGAAGCAGAGCAAGATTTTTGGAATGTATTCCATGCATCCACCAGGTACTTCTGTTTCTCCTGTGAGTGAGGAGTCCATTTTTTGTTTTGTAGAGACAAAAACCTGGCAGCAAGTTTGTGGAGATAAGCCTTCCTTTAGTTGACAGAAAATAAATTGGTGCTTCAGGCTACTTGCTCTCTTGATTTGTAGTAGACTTCACATTGACAGGCAAATTAGACTGTGATCAAATAGAAACTATTTGCCTTATCTTTGGTACATTCATTTCTGATCCGTTTGAGTCAGATTAGACATCAAATTGGTTTTATTCAAACAGATGCCAAGAGATTGCATTATCTTTTTTTTTATTTTGAAAATGAAAACTATTACTTTGTTTCATTGCAGCTTTGAGCAGGGCAACAGAGGATCTAGAAATATCACTTGAGGGAAAGCTCTGAAGAGCCAAACTGTTTAACAGAATGGAATATTTGTGACTTCATTTTTTAGCATTTCATAGCCATGTTGGTTGATACATTCAATATAATTCTTGTTAGCTACAATGTACTGTGTTAAGCTTGTATCAGTAATTTTGGGGTCCTGTTACATTGCAACATTTTAACCATGACCTCCATCAACCAAGAACAATTGTATCAAGCATCCCAAACATTCTGCTTCAACCAAAACTCTTTTTATGTTCTTGCACTGCAGTGACCTTGCCATTACCTTTTTTTGATAACACAGGACCTTCTGTACATCTAAGCTCATGTGCTGCACAATTCACTTAGGTCAAGTACACTTCTGCTCTCCCTGTTTGTACAGTCAATACACTAAAATCACATCACACTGCTTTTCACATTTTTTACTACAGATTGATAAAAGCTGAAAGCCACTTTGACCACAATATCAGACTTGGTTATAAGAGAAACCATACTAGAAATCACTGTGTGAGATTTATCAAGCCACTGTCCTCTGAGACACAGTTGTGAGGACACAGTTTTACACTGATTTTGTTGAAGTCCCAAGTGAATTGGTTTAGCTCTTGATTACATGCATTCCTGAAATGCATACATAATGCATTTCTAGTTTGGATTTGTCTACTTTTATCTTCCAGCTCTGGAAACTACTGCTTTTTTTGTGAAAGTTAAACTACTTACTCACATATAAACTACTTACCTCTTTGTCATGTAAGTACTTTTTAATTTTTAAGGAAAACAGATTGATTGGTCTGTTGCTGCAAGGTGTCTTCCACAACTTCATGTATTGATTTTGCTTGGGTGGAGCATGATGTTTCAATATAATTTTAAAGTGGAAATTGCACATTGTTTCTCAAAAATTACCTCAATTGCTGCTGTATATTCCACATCAACTTTAAAAGAATTTTTTTACTAATATTGTCTATTCATCCTGTTTTTTCCATTAATAACAGTAGTAATTTGGATACCTGTTAGCATATCTCTTACCTGGACATAAGAACATTTCCAAGATAAAGGAGGGTAAAGCTATTCCATATTCAGGAGGTGACTTTGCACTCTATGCAGAGGGATACTAGCTAGCTGCAATCAATGATTGAGCCTGTGTGAACACTTCCCTTTAGTCCTCTTCCTGCATGTACCTTCTGCACTGGAAAACTCAGGTCTTAGACCTCTGATTTCTTGTCCAGAGAATTATGATTATGTTGAACATAATATGCTCTGTGCCCAACAAGGAAGGTGTTCTCATATACTAGAGACAAGTCTTTCTCTAAAAATGGAATGGCATTAGTGAGGTTTGCAGAGCACTAGACCCTTTTCCAAAATCACGTTTACTGAGGTGAAACATCTTGTGTGCTGTGGTAGCCAGGCTGAAAATTTGGAGCTGTGCTTTACCTCTGTGTGTGCCTGAAGTAGTGAGAGAGGTCTATAACCCCAAATACCCACTCCAAAATCTCCCTTAAGCAAAAAGACTGTGCTGTTCCTTTGATACAGCTCTGATCACTGTCAGCTGAGTACTGCTGTGCCTTCCTAATCCTGGTATCAGGATTCAGAGAAGTGGAAGAGCTCCCTTGCAAACAGCTTCCATGTGTCAGTGTTTGCAGAAACAAACACACACATTGGGCCCAGGCACTGCTGCTCCATTACTTTTACTTCTCTCCCTGTCCTTGAACCACTGGGAGCTGGGGAAAAAAGCAAACATGGGATTGATGAAACCCCAAAACTGACAAACAACCATGAAAATATCAAACACTGTTCTAAAGGATCATCTTCATTCACATTAAAATGTGAAATGGGAAATGAGCTGGTTATTAAGCTGGACACAAATCCCTTTTAAATTTCTATAGCAATGGGACTCAACCCCTCTCAGTCTTCTTTCTTCTTTTCCAATGAGAAATTAAGCACCTACATTAAAGTGCACTGAGAAACAGGTTGACAACAAGGCAAATATAATTTTGTCTTAAAATACTATCATCAAGACATTTGTCTAAATAGACCGGTGTTTTCTGGAACAGTTTAAGCCAGCAGGGTTGCCAAGAGGTAACAGGGAAAGTTCTCTGCTGCTCTCATTCCAAAGAGTTTCAGGCTAACAAAAAAAAATCATCAGTTGTATACTGTATTAATTTGCCCCTTTCCAACCTTGCAGTGGGCAGGGAAAGCATGTCAGGTATCTGAGAGACCAAGATAATAGCAATCCCTTTCCTTCTAATAGCTTCAGAAATAAATAGTTAGGTATTTAACTAATTAATTGTTGCAGGCTGGACCTCCTGTATTTACAGTTAGAGCTCAGCATTTATCCTGATTTCTAGAATCGGTCCTCTAATGGAATTTATGCAGTTGTGTGATTGCTTTTTCCTAAAGAATGCAGGGGTGAAATCACACAGATCAGAGCCTCACTGTTCCTGACACAGAGGCCTTTTCTTCCCCTTTCCCTCCCCCAACAGGGCTCTCCTGTGTGCTCACTCACAGCCGTGCAGCTGCAGCTCCCTCGCATGAGCCGTGGACAAGAGGGTTATTCTTACTGCCAGCAATGTTTCCTCTGCTCCCAAAAGGGTCAAAACTCCAACGTGAAAAGTCTTGTTTGTTGATTAAATTTGCAGTGTGCAGGGGAGAAGCCTTGTGTCCGTACAACAGGCATGGCCAGGGGGCAGAGAAGCTATTTCTGAATGTCAGGGTGATAGACGGCTGCTGCAGTTACCTGAGAGCATTTCCATCCGCTAAGGTTGGCTCGAGAGGAGGATTTCTGCATTAACGCCTGATAAAAACCAGTCAGGCCTGTGCTTTCTGTGGTTCTCTCCTTTAGATGACCTCTCTACCCAAGGACCTGGTGACCTTAGAGTCAAACACTTCATCACAGGCAAGTGTGGTGGCAGATTTTTTGGTAAACACGTCGTCCTTCCACAGTGGCTCAGCAGCTTCTGTATTGACCACACCTGAGCTCCTTGAGGAACACTGATGTGAAAGGCCCAAACAGGAAAGAGACAGCAGCCTCCTTCAGCGCGCCCTGAAACCCAAAACCCCGGTGTGCTGAAGGACGGCCTCGTTCGGCCCTTATTTCTGCATTCCTGTTCCTTGTTCCTGAGCTAGGCAGTATTCTTAAGGCACTTTTTCTATTTCACTAGTCAGCGGCAGCTATCAGAATACGGAAATTAACATATCACCTTTGACGGTTCAGCCCGTGGACGACTATATGGTGCTAAACTACGCGAAAATGTGATCTGTGCCATGCGGTCAGGAAAGCACTCGATGACAGCCCGCAATTTCTCTGGGTTTCTCCATCACAATCTTCATGAAAGGACTTTGGATTAGTTTTCCTCCGCCCGTAGGAGCCCGTACCTCACACGAGCAGTTTCCCGTTTCCCCCGGGTATCCCCGGGGATTCCTCCGCTCCCCTCAGCCGGGGGGCGGGGCCAACGCGTGGCGCGCGCGCGCAGGTACCGTCTGCTGATTGGTCGGCATCACCGCCAGTCATGCGCGAGATGGGCGGGGCCGCGCGTGCCGGCGTTGCCGGGTTACGGCCGCCCCGGGCAATGGCGGCGGGACCGCCCCGCGGTGAGGGGGGACCGGGAGCGGCCGGGCCGGCACCTCTTGTGGGGACGGGGGGCTGGTGGGCAGGAGGAGACGTGTGCGAGAGGGGCCCTGTTCGGGCTGGGTGTGAGGAAACGGGTGGGGAGGCGGTAGCTTTGTGCGGAGGGTGTGCGCAGAGCCGGGTGAGGGACCTGAGCGGGTGTAGGTCTCCTCAGAGGGCCCCTTCTCCCCGGCTGGGCGGTGTGGGGTGGCATCAGGTGCTGCAAGAAGCAACACTGTGGGGGTTCCAGGTGCCCCGTGTTACAGCGGGAGGCTGTCCATCCCTAAATAAATCCCCCATACCTGTTTGTTTCCCTGTTGCAATTCCCCGGTAATACTCGCTTCTGTTGCAGGTTGGTGCCGGGCGATTTAAAGTCGTAGGAATAGCCGGCAAAGCTGCTTAGGGCTGTGTTAAAAATGCTGGGAGAAAAAAAGCAGTTAATGGTGGCAAGAGACCTTTACACAGACCCCGCGTTTCCGGCCAGTGATACCTCCATATTTTTTAATTATTGTACCCCGCTTGCCCAATTCAGAGGAGAGATATCTTGGTTGAGACCTAAGGTGAGTTTTAAGGTATAAAAGGCTGATTTTAGCAGAATTTGGCTTTTAGGTAGTAAATGCAAGTTAGCATTGAATGACTGCTTTTGCTTATTTGTTTGAAAATACAGAAGTGATAAAACCAGTGTTCGTTAGTGTTAACAATACATGAGTTACAGTTTTAGTCTAAGGAGCTTGTTTGTAGGCTTGATTTAAATCCTCATGTAGAGTTTTTAAATTTCATGGCAGTAGGAGAAATTCACATATTTTATTATAAATATGTTTCATTATGCAAATTACATGCATACCAAGTTAGAATACAGTATTATGTAATTTCCAAAAATTTTTATATATTGCATAACGGTCTTGAAAATAAGTACTTGTATTTTAGAATTTTTTGAAGCCTATTCCTTTTTTTTTTTTTGTGGTTGCTTTCTTCAATAACAGGAAAGGAAACTTTTAAAGTTTATAACTTGTCATATGGCTTGTATTGCTTTTCAACTTATAGTTGGGTTGCAGAGCAAGCTGTATTAGAGCTGAAAGCACTAGAATGCATTTCTGCAGTACACCCATTTAAGGTGAAGTATTTATGATACTGCCTTTGTGTAGAAGGGGAACAAAGGCCATAAAAATGTAATGGAGGAAAAAAGCATGTTGTCTTGAGTTGTATTTTTTACCCAGTGTATGGGGCTGTCTGTGGGACAGTGACAGAACTGTTGGTTATCAGGTGTAATTGGCAACCAAATGGTTTCATGGAGTCAAGTGTGCAGCTTCCTGCCTTTGTACTTTGCACCTCGATTGCTGCTGAGGGCTGATGAGTTAATTTCCATCTCCTGCAGTATTTACATGTAAGGAGAACCATTTCACAAACTCACTTTCAGATCAGATTAAGTGTTCAGGATTTTGCATCTGAAATTTCCTCTTGTGCTACCAGTTAATGTATTTTTCTGTGCCCTAGGAAAGGTTTTTCCCTTGTTCTAATTGTGAGAGTTGTGTAACTTGGGACGTGCAGTTTAATGTGGATAGCATCAGCCCTGTCACAGTTGATCATAAGTCTAGCAAGGAGCTGATGAATTATGTTGTGTTTCACTTGTTACTGCTTTTGGTAAGGTCACACCTGATGGTGACAGTTGTGTGCTGAAATTAATGCGGGAACTAGGTTTACATTCATGAAGTACCTGCAAAATACTGCCACAAGCCATTTATTTGTCACTTCTTACTTAGGCTGGGTATGAAAAGGAAATTTTCTAGAAGTAAAAATTCCCTTATTTTATGAGAGACCTCTGAAGCCTTCCCAGTCCCTGAAACACAGACTTCCTTAGAATGTCATGCAAGACTTGGCTTTAACTCCTTTTCTTTCATTTTAGGACATATGTTCCTCTCCTCGGTTGTTTTCAAACAATCTGCAGGATGTGCAAGTGAAACAAGGAATTCTGGGGGACTGTTGGTTCCTGTGTGCCTGTGTAGCTTTGCAGAAGAGCAAATACTTACTGAACAAGGTATGGACAAGTTTCTTCTTAGAGAAATTTTTCTTCACCTAATTGACATTTGTGTATTGTTCTGCAGTCCCAAGCTGCCATACGAGTGTTGTGCCTTCATTATGCTCAGATTCACTGCTTTTGTTATCATATTTTTTCTGTGTTTGTTCCAAATGGCTGATACAAATTCAGTATATTTTAAACTAGTCTTGTTTGCAAAAATTGAAATTCATTAATTCATTGTTTGCCTTGATTTTGGCTTTTGCCCTGCAGGTGATCCCTCCAGGTCAGCCCAGCTGGACAGATGAATCCTATCAAGGCTGCTTCACGTGCCGGGTCTGGCAGTTTGGCCACTGGGTGGAAGTGACCATTGATGATCGCCTGCCTTGCCTTGGGGGCAAACTCTGCTTTTCCCAGTGTCAGACAGAGGATTTGTTTTGGCTTCCACTACTGGAAAAAGCTTATGCAAAGTATGTGAACGCTGCTGTTGATGGAAATAGAACTACAATATTGGTGTGTTTCTTCTGCTTGCTTATTTTACCCAGCTGCTTTGGGTACAGATCTGAGCATTGTGGATGCTGATGGTCCAATTCTGGCTGGTGCAGAACTTGCTCTTTAAACTGTAGGTCTGTAAGGTGTGCTTCCAGTTGCATCTGAAGTAAGATAGTCTTAGGGAAATAATTCTGTTGAAAAGTAAGCTGCAATGAATTTTCAGGATTCAAGTGATGTTTGTTAAGTCTCTGTCCATTAGTTATCTAATTTGTTAGAGGAAGATGTTTTACTAGGGAAAATGAGAGCTCAATGAAAAGCAGAAAGCATGCAGATGTTTTCATAGAAAGCAACAACATTTAGTGAGTTTGTGCTAGTTGAAGCTTTGGTTGTGTGAGTTTCACTGCACTTTTGTATAATTTGTTAGTTTACTGTTTTAGAAAGAAAATGCAGCTATTTAGTGGTTTATGGCACATCAGCAGAAAAAGCTGTTCAGATAGACAAAGCAATTTGGAGACAAAATGCACTGGTAAGATAAACATCTAATGTCCCAAAGAATCTGAGCAGAAGATTTTATGATTGCCAGCAGAGGGCAGAGGCAGACTTCAATTATGTAGTAATTTCACTGTAGGTTGAACAGAAGCTGTGAAGCACTAATGCCGTGTTAAAACTTCTCTGTAGGTTTGAAATGTAATATTTGTTGTCTGCAGAGCTCTTATTGTTCAGTCTTAAAATTCTATTTTAGTCTTGACTTCTTCTGCTATATTTTTGCATCTGCTACATCAGGTGGGGCAGTATCTTGCTTTGCTTAGGTTGTTGAGGGAAGTGCTGCTCTAGTTATTTGTGCAGAGTGAATAAAAAATAATTAAAGAGGAAGAAATATTTTTACTTATAGAGAATGCTGTTTGTATATCACAAAAGATAATGTAGAGCATAGATAATAGGGTACAAATGACTAGTACTAGGCAACAGTTTTTTGAATAGAGAGAATGTAAGAAACTTCCCATCAAGCAGTGGAATATCCAATGGCTTACATATTCTTTAGTTGTTCTATATAGATATGATAGTATGTGCTTTCTCTTGCCTACTTTGGGTCATGTGGTCGGGCACAGTCATTACTGTGATAACAGAGTGGGGTTGCAAGTGTGTAGGAATAGAGTTTCTTTTGTTCTGCTGTGTGTAAAAACTTTTTCTTCATGCTTTTTCTAATTTTTTTGTTTAAATTTTTTAGAGTGCATGGATCTTATGAGCAGTTGTGGGCAGGACAAGTGGCAGATGCTTTGGTTGATCTGACTGGAGGAATTGCTGAAAGATGGACCCTGAAAGGCCCTGGAAAAAATGTGGAGAAAGGGAAGACTGGTATGGTTTTGGAGAAGGCAGTGTTTAGAAGACTGATGAAACTGAAGGAACAGTGTGTGATAAGCTGTTCAGTCCTCAACTCCAGACAAGGTGATAGCAAATATCTGTATTAACAGGCTTCAAAGCACAAGGCAGCCAACAAATACAAGAGCTGATTCTAGTACCATGCCAGTTTCATGGCACAATTTGAAATGTTTGGATAAATGAAGATTTAGTGATGCTACTGAGTTCAGGATGGGGCCTGCTTTGGAGTAGTGCTTTTTATATTAGATGCTAGTATGGTCAGTTCTCAAAAACAAATGCATCCTCCCCAAAATGCATTCCCTCGAAAAAGCATCTCAAAAACAACCTTGAAAACCTCAATTAATTTTAGCACAGTGAATTTGTAGGAACTTGAGATTAAGGAGCAAGTTAATACACTTTGCAATGTTGCTTTATTTCTTTATAGTCACTAAAATGAACTGATTGGGGTTTCTTTGTGCTGTTCTAATACAGACTTAAAACCAATTTCATTTTATTGCAAAATTGCTTTCTTTCACTAATGTTATTGTAAAGTATGGAACAGAGTCTTTTATTTATTTTCAAATGGTATTTTTTTTCTATTCAGGTGCAAGTGAACTAGGAGAATTTCATGCCTTTATTGTGATAGACACATTGAATCTTTCTGAAGTGTCAGGCAAGGAAATCTTCCTGCTACGAATACGAAATCCTTGGGGGAGGCGGTGCTGGAAAGGGCCTTGGTGTGAGGGGTGAGCAGTTTTATGTTCCTTTGGAAAACCATTGTGGAAAACCACTTATCTATGTATTGCATAGGCAAACACTGCTAATAGCCTCCAGCAGAGGAGAAGAGGCTTCAGTGTGTGTGCAATTCTTTAGAGAGCTGGGAGTTTACACAGCTCATTGCTTCTGAGTCTAGTACATTTGATCTCCTAGTTCTTGCAATCTGAATTTTTTAATAACTTTTTTGTTTATCAAATCATCGTATCTTTTTATAGAGACAAACTGAAGGCGTTGCCTAACTTTCTGATTTTGGTGCTTCTTTGTTGTTCTGCCATTGATCTGAGTATCTTTGATCATGTTTGTTTCTTGCAGTCATTCAGCTTTACTTGCCTCTCCTCATTTGTTCCTGGCTCAGCTGCAGAAAACAAGCAAAGGAGTAATTATAAAACTATAGCAGAAGGAAGGATGCTTATGCTTGTTGCTTGTGTGATCACATTTCTGTAGATTGAAGTAGGAGTAGCTGGATCTGAGTCCATATAAAGTAGAAATAAAGAAGAGAACTGTTGTAAAGGACTTGCAGAAATGTGTAGCAGCTCAAATAGAAAAGTAACAAGAATGAAAGGGCAGACCCTATTTGCTTATTTTGGAAAATGTTAGCATGTTTTGACTATACAAAAGAACATGCAATTCTTGACCTAAGCAACAAGCATTCAGCATTAAAATATGTTAGCAATATGGTGATGTTCATGAATATTTTTGTAGAAATATTTTTCTTCCTTGAGTTAGAAAGATAATTTAATTGCATTTATTGAGACTTTAGCAGATAGTTTTTCTTTTGAGAGTGTTTTGGTTATACACTTGGTCTCTTGTAGTTTCTTTGTCAGAGTAAGTTGCCATATAGTTGCAAGAGGATGGGATTTCATTGGATGGCCTTAAAATCCTGTTTTATTCAAGTGCAGAACTGTTCTTTTTTGCTAGTGAAACAATGAAAAAAGTTGAAACTACTAGTTTATAATGAGGCATTGAAATTTTTGGTTTATCAAGATTTGGCAAGCAGATTCATGAGGGTAGTCAGTTGCTTAATACAAATGGCAGTTTTTGTTGTAAAGCATTAAAATTCTTTCAGAACAATGACAGTGCAGCTTGTTTTACATTTTTGCCTCGTTTTTAAACAACAGTTAAAAATGTTTATTTTGCTCTCAGACTTCTTACTGTGGTAGCTGTTGTAAACAAAGCAGCTATTTCACCCAAAAGTCTGTTCTGCATCCAGTGTAGTATTAGGCTGTTTCTAGGTTTCCTTTGATAAGTTATGACTTGTGTTTCCTATGATCCCTCTCACTGACCAGCAATGTGCAGAGAAATTTTCAATGCAATTATTTCACAATAAAATGAAGAAATCTCTTCTTGCTGTCCTGCTCCATAAGATATTTGGTAGAACATTGTTCTTGAACTCTGCTAGGCAAAGAGCTGAATGTTAACTTCTGTCTTTTGTGCAGTGGTCAAGGATGGAACCAGCTAGATCCAGTAGTTGCTTCACAACTCCTCTCACAGATCCAAGAAGGAGAATTCTGGGTTGATGAAGAGGAATTTTTCAGGGAATTTGATGAGATTACTGTGGGCTTTCCAGTCAATGAGGAAGGACAACTTCAGAGCCTCTATACAGGTATGATATGAGAGGGCATTTTTCTTCTGCAAATAACATTATGTCAAGGGGAAGAATTTATTTGAGTTGCAAATGGGTACAACTAGACCATAATTTCTCTTTCTCAGTTTTCCCCTCTTCTGTAGATCCATTGGCCTTTTCTGTCTCTACTGAAAAAGAGAAGGACAAGAGGAATTAAAGATCTTTAGAGAAACCATTGATATTTCTAGGAAATCTAGTTACTTGCTAGTTGGTTGAGAGATTAGTGTCATCTGTCTAGAAGGCTGTTATTTTGGACAGCCCTGTGATGTTTTGTTTTTATTGGTATATATACTTGAGATTTCTAGTAACAGTTTATTGTAAACATTATGTCATCAGTCTGTCATTGTCAACTGTGGCATTAATTTTTATGCTTCTCAAAATCTTGGTCATGAATTTTTGCATTGGGGAAGTGTCAGGCTGTCACAGCATGTTTTCTTGGGCTGGGGAATCTCTGCCATATACCTGTTGTGTAAAATTAAGTAGCTTTCCATGTCTGAAACCCTCCCATTTCTTATTTTGTTTTCACATTTTTTTAGAGAGAGTGCTGTATCACTCTCAGAATCTCTTTGGGTCCTGGGTGAGAGGCCAGTCTGCAGGTGGCTGCCGCAACAACAGCAGCTTCCCCACCAACCCCAAGTTCTGGCTGAGGGTCTGTGAGTCGAGTGAGGTGTGCATTGCTCTGCTGCAGAAACACAGGAAATACAGCACTGACTGGGCTGGAAGGATTCAAAATCCAACCTGCCTAGCAGAGGAAAATCCATCTTTGACTGAAGGCATACAGGGAAAGAATTACCAGGCTGTGGGATTGCATGTCTGGAAGGTAATACAAAAGTGACGTTTTTTCTCTTTGCAAATAGAAGTTTAAAAGCATTACTGAAACATTTGAGTAAAATTATTCATTTCCCATGCCAGTGAGATTCAACTGGTTGCAAATTTTCTGTCTCTGGTTTATGCTGGAATGGTTCTGTTTATCTCACAGTTACTGTCTGTACAAACTATCACTGGACTAGTACTTTCTTCTTATCACTGAGCACTTGGGATTGTTCCAAACTAGTGCATGACATTTTGGGCTGATTACTTGCAGCCATTCCTAAATTTACTCCTGAATATTAACTCTTCCTGCTTCTCTTTGATGTTCAGGTCATCTGCTCATACTCTTGCCTTTGTTTCATTTGTAAACTTACGCATGTTTAAAAATGTTTTAAACAATATTTGATAGTTTTTAGTTTTATTACAAGCTACTCATTTTTCCTAAACCACCACACATCATTATGCATCTATTCTAGGTGGAGAAGAAACGATTTAACCTTCCAAAGACCCTCTCTGCTCCTCCAGTTGTAGGTACCGTCTGCCATTCCTACGATAGAGAAGTCCATGTGTGCTGTGACCTGTCACCTGGCTTTTATCTTGTTGTTCCCAGCACTTTTCTGAAAGATGCAGTAGGGAATTTCTTGCTTCGAGTGTTTTCAACGGGAAGGATCTCTCTCAGGTAGGTTTAAAACAAAACAGAATGTTTCTTAAAATTGTTGACATAAATACAAGTATAGCACTAAGTGGGAATGTTCAAAATATTTTGAGGAATTGTGCAGAGTGCTGTATAACAGCATTGTATTGTCTTTGAATCCATGCAAGTTTCCCAGCTCCTTGTTTTTGTCATGAAACTGCTACTGTCTCTTGTTGAAATACTAACAAGAAGTAGCTTCTTGACTCTAAACTGCAGCTTAGTGCTATATGTAGAGGCAAAATGTAGTGTTGGCAGCTGTTTAAAAGCTGGTCAGACTTGTTTATATTCTGGTAGTATGTGTTTTATACATTTTTGTTTCTTTTCTCCCTTATGTTTGATAGTGAACTAAAGCCACCCCCCATGGATGCTGCCCTCTGTGAAGAACTCCCAGCTGGTGAATGGGAGACAGTGCAGCTGCATGGATGCTGGAAGAATGGGCTAAATGCTGGAGGTAGCAGGAACTTCCCCTCCTTCCATACCAATCCCTGCTTTCCCCTCTCCATTCCTGCAGGACCAGAGAAAAGCAGTGTGAAAGTCACCCTCCGTCAGCACTGCCTGGATAGCAAGTGTTGTCCAATAGGTTTCCATATTTTCCAGGTAAGGCTTCTGGTCAGTAAGATTGCTTGTTTGCCAGGGATGAAGGTTAGCCTGGCAGCACAGGGCTCCTTGCAGTTTGCAAGGGACTTGCTGCTTCTGGGAGAAACACAGGCTGACTCTGGGAAGTAATGCCCATGAAAGATATGGAATAACTTAGGTAGTTACATAGCATAGTAACCAGATAATTGGTTCCACTGAATTCTTACAAGGTTCTTAATTAGTTTTAGCAATGATGAACTCTTTTGAGGATTTGCAAAGAATTCTTCATGTAATTGAGGACCAGACCTTTTGGTACTTCATCACAAAAACTTACTTTCTTTGTGTCTAATAATTAAATGTCCATAGGCAAATGATATTGGATCAAAAGGACTGTGATATCTTGAGCAGGTGATCAGAAACAAAACAAGATTTGATTTGATATGGATAGATACAGATTCAACATGTGTGTGCCAGTGTTCAACTGCATAAATGTAACCAGAGAAGCTACTGCTCAAGTAACTATTTAGCAGAGAAAGGTAGCTTTATTTTTAGAAAACATGCTTCAAAAAAAAGGTGTTGTTTAAGTGAAAAGTCTGGAGTTGGCCACCAGAAGTAATCATAAAACTTCAAGTACACAATATGTGAAGGAAGATTGGCATTTTGTATATTCCTATAGGAGACTGAGATGAAGTCTAATAAGACTTTTTAGTACAGGAACGACTACTAGATATAGGAAGGACACAGTCTGTTCAGCAGATCCCTGAGGCAGAAAACAAGTGCTTTAGGCTGCAGCAGGGAAGAGTGAGGTTAGAAAACAGAACTATGTGAGTAGTGGGTTCTATGCATTGTTTACAAACAGGCTAGGAATGATTCATCTGTTCTTAGTATTGCCATCTGGGTTTTCTGGAAGCTTATCCATTCCTCTTCTCACTAGCTCTGTACAGCAGAGTGAGTATTTGGAATAAAGATGGACCATATCACACTGTGGTGTCCTAGGAATGAAACTTTGTGAGACTGAAACAGATGAAACAGTAGGCATGTTTGCATTCTTTTTTGCAGGTGCCTAACAGCAGCTGGAAACCACAAACTACTTCTTTTGTACACTTGGAGCCACTGGTGAGCTGTGTTCCTCACTGCTATTCCCAGGAAGTCAGCAGACTTTGCAGGCTTCCTGCAGGAAGTTATGTCATTATACCTTCTACATACTTGCCCAATACAGAAGGCAATTTTACAGTGGTCATAGCAACCAAAATAGACAGGTAAAATTATGTTGCCTTTTATTTGCTTTTCTAGTCTTTTTAGTGCATGTATTACAGGATGCATGGAAATGACTGCATGTTTTCAACAGGCAGTGACGTATTCTCTTGATGAAAACTTTTTGTGAAGTCTTTGTATTTCTGTTGTTTGCCTGCTTAGTGCTATATGTAGAAACAAAATGCTTGCCACTGCTTACACTTTGTTTATGTTGGAAGAATGACTAAAGAAGGTAGTATTTGTTAAATCTTCTTGCATCACTTGGTAACTATCAGATGTCTCTTGCTGGAGGAGATGACACTTAAGTAATTAATTACCTAGGTAATTAATCATCAGTGTTAGGATTTATGCTGAAAGTTATCAATGCCTTCTAAACTTCAGAGTTGTTTTTGAGAAAATGCAATGAGTAACTGCCCTTATTCCAGGTAGTTCCTAACTATGATGTGAATGACAACAGCTCTGAATCAGAATTGTAAATCCCATGAGACTGCAGTAAGACTCAATAGAGTTGCAGAAAGATTTGCTAAGGGAAAGGATGTGCAACAAAGCCTGATACAACTTCTCTTTTTGAAGTGGGATAAATACTTGATATTTGCAACATTCCCAATGCTTTGTGCAGAAATAAGTGTGGTTTGGGTTTTCAACAGGAAGCGCATTCACAGCCAGGAGACACTTGGACAAGTATTACAAGAGGTAGGTGATATATTTGATGTATTCATTCTTGGTGTCACCACAGATCTGCTTGTTTTAACTATACAAGTTAAAACATAGTATCCTTTCTCCATCTGATTGGTTTTGATGTTTGGTATCCTCTGTATTGTGATTTTGAAATTCTAATGATGTTATAGTGTTGCAAGGCTTAGGAAAGCACAGCAAAATGAGAAGATAAGGTTTTTATTTGTTTCCCTACAGTCAGCCTATACAGTATCACACCATTATAATCCCTCCTGGAGTGCAAGTTGTTTTGATCAAGTTGATGACATCTAATTCAGATTCTGGTTTTGTTTTGCTTGATCAGATAGGCATGTAGTATCAAAGGGTTGGATGTGAATACTGAGTAACTAATACTTATGGTGTTTTTACTGGGTACAGAGGAGAACTTTGGTAAAAATGTTTTTAATTAAAAAATAAAGTATTATTTTAACAGTGGTTTGAACATGATTTGGTTAGTGGATAAAAACATGTCTTTGATCACACTCTGCTTATTAGGTGGAACCAGACCATCTAGATACTTGGGTCTTTCCCTTTGAGGTTTGAACAAAACAAAAATTGTAGGAAAAACTCTTCACCTGAATTTAGAATTGGCTTACTCGTTTTCTGAGTGTGGATCATGTTGACCAGTGATTACATTTTTTTCTTAAAACCACACAAACTGTATGGATTTTGTGTGCTTCACAAAGTGGGCACAGACCTGTGTGTACTTTCCATATGGTTCCTGTTACTTTAATGTTTAGGAGCTGAACTATGTAATGAAGGGCCTTTGTTACCATTGTTTTGAGAACAAAATGTTGCAAGGCCATCAAAAGGAATCCATTCAAACTTATGTTTCTTTATATTATTTATTGAAACAGAATCAAAGAAACAAACCATTTAGAATCTTCAGGACAGCTTCAAGAATATGGAAATTGCAGTAATATTTTTCTTATCAGTGGGAGAAATTAATGTCTGAATTTAACCTTCAACAATATGGGCATTTCTAAAGACTGGACTTAAAACTTTCAGGGGTTTAGCTCCTGAGGGTTTCAGGCAGTCTGCCTCACTTTGGGCTAGTGGTTTCTAAAAGATGTGTAATAATAGCAGAGCTGGATGTCAGTGTATTTTTCTAAAAGATTGACTATGTTCTCTAGTTACTGAAGTGATGGCATTTATGAGTTTTAAAGGTTTTGATTTTTTTTTAAAGGGTGTTTCAGATGAAAAGCTTGCATTTTGATCTTAGTTTCTAAATATTTTTTTCTCTGATTCATTTTAATTCCTTCTTTACAAAAAAACCCTGATGAAATAGTTTTTTTCTCTGTATTGCACATTTTCTTATAGGTTTCCTTTACAACTGTGATGAAAAGGTAGTGTGGAATTCTGACACTGTCTTTTCAAGAAACATCGGGAAGCCAAGGAGAATGCCTCATCTCTTGCTCTTCTCAATTTTAAATGGAATAACAAGATGCTTTTAGCCCAGCTGTTTTTCACTGGTACCAACTGTCAGGCCTGTAACGACTTCTTTGTGAAAAATACCTCCTTTAATCATGAACACTCTGAATATTTGGTCTTCCCACATTTTTAGAAGGAGCATTGTACAGCAAATTATCATGTACCTCAGTTCTTCAAAAATGCAGGTGAAGAACATGTGCATGTTTTCACCCAAGCTATGGTTTTGGAAGAAAACCATAAAGCTTACATGTAAGGCCAGGTTGGATGGAGCCCTGATGCTAGCTGCTGATGAACTTTGAAAATTGAAAGGATTTAGGAAGCTTTTGCCTGAATTTTACATGGTCAAAACCTCCCACATCTGTTGATGTGGAAAAAGAACAAAAGAAAACACTGTGAGTAATAAATCCCTGCTGTACCTACTAAAACAACTGTTGACATTTTCGTTTATTTTCTTAATTTCTTGAAAAGCTGTTCCTTTCTCTTCAAATAGGAAATTATTGGATCATACAACAGTGTTTCTAAACAGAAGGAAACGTTTGTGAAAGTGCATGGACCCTACTTGTGGTGAAATACAAATTGGATACTGAGGAAGTAAAAAAAAGATGTAAGGATTTTTTAAATGGGCTGTGGTTATGAGAGGCCCCCTACTACAATCATTTTTGTGTGAGTGAAGTTTATGCTACACTATATAATGCTTTGTGGGAGAGTGAAAGGCAAAGGAATCAACACTGAGTGTGTGTATGCTCTGTTACCTCCTGCAAGAAGAGCTAAGAAGAGACCTGTGTACTCAGAAGAGGAACAGCTTACTGAAGATTTTACTCAAGCATCCTAAATGAACAGTTGTCCCATTTTAAGATGTGATACCTGACAGAGCACACATGCAGGAAATTACTTGATACAGGCCATTTCTCTAGCATCCTACAGCTAATTCAATGCTACTGTGAGTGTGAAAATACATTTATTTGGAAATACTGTGTGTTTGTGTATACCTCAGACTCAATTGTGTGAGTTTTGCAAGTAGACTTTCATTTCAGAAAGTTCAGTAGATGAGAATTGAGATAGTGAAGCGTGTTTTTAAAGGATCTGCGCTTACTAACAGGTTGAAGCTCTCAGCATTTTAGTGTGTTGCAGACTAGCGTGGAATAGCACAGAGTTTATATGGATGTGGCTGCAGTATTGCACCCAAAATGTACTCCAGATTGATTTCCTTCACCCCCTCAGGGAGCTGGAATGTAAATGCCCGAAGGAGATTGGTAAAGAAGATGAACAGTTCAACTCGTGCCATCCGTTCCCCCAAACATACACGGTGCCCTGCAGAGGAAAATCAAAAGAGTTGGTTGAGTAAAGTTAAATTCTGTAAAAGAATTTTGTACAAAATTCTACTGAGTTCCATAAATTCTGTTAATGTAAGATAATTATCTCCTATTTACTCCTGTAAGGACAGAAGATGCTTTAAGAGGAGGGTGGGGAAACATTTAACTGAGAAACTGTGCACCTCTGTCAAGTGTTTGATTTGGTGTTTTGATTGGGTTTGTTTAATCTTTTTTCACCCCTGGAGCATGTACACAATTCTCCCTTTCCATTGTTAATTCTTTTTGTGAGAACCATGAATTGCTTCTTAGCTAACCCCAATTTTAAAAAGATTCGTATATTTCAGAGCTATTTTGTTGTTAAGAAGGGAGGGCTGGAGCATTGTGGGATGCAGTTCTGAAGCCAAGGAGAAGGCTCTAATCAGTATTTCTTTAACAGAAATTCAGAAGGGTATATTGGGTCCTTGTAGCCCTAACACTGTCAGAGGTAAGGGAGTGAAATGTGCAGTGATGTATAGACTCAGTGACTCATTTTGGCATGTTGTTTACACAGAATATTTCAGGATATCCATATATTCCAGGCTAAAACCCCAAAGATAGGTATTCAGGATATATAAATACTCAGATTACATAAACAGAAAACAACCAGAACAAGTTAAAGAAATAGTCCTATGTCACAGTTGAAATGGGAGCCCAAATTAGTTGTCTCAATTCATAGCCATTTGGTGAGTGAAGAAGGTAAGATAAGTACCTGTTTTGCAAAGATTATTTTAGGATTTACAGACAATATAGGCAATTAAAAAAAAAAATCTGGGTTTACTGCATTTAACCTGACCATGTGTTGCTCAGTATGCTCTTTGCTATTTCTCTACAAGAAATGTGTAGTAGTATAATGTCACAGTAACACAAAAAAACCCCCTCAGCTGTTTCCCAGTGGTTTTATTGTGAATTTTTAGTAATGATACCACTTTCCTCTTTTGTGCTGCTGTTTTTCATAATCAGTTTGTTGGAGAAACTGGTAGATTATTTCCACCCTCTTTTTTCCCCCTCCATATCTTTGAATCCCTGCATTTTGCACTGTAAGTTAGTTAAGTTGCACATTGGAATATGCTTTTGAAAAGTTCATTTTTTTTTAGTTGCCTAATAGTATTCTACTGAAAACCTACAAAATCTACTGGATTTTGCTAGTTTTCTACAGATACGTGAAAACTTGGTGCTAGACTATTAATGTAGGATTTGGGAGACTGAGGTTTGGTTTCCTACTTCACAGATTTTCTCTGTATGTTTTGAAAAATCATGTTTCTTTTGTCACTGGCCTTCCTTTTTGTAAGGTGAAAATAAATAGATTTCCTGACTTAGGAGAATTACATGCATTTAACAGAGAATTACCTTGATTTAACACATTAGGAGATAAGAAGCTTCCTTATGGTAGGAACCCTGCATATGCCAAGGAACATTGGCATTGTGCCAAGGAGCATTGTGTCTCCCAGCCATACTTATCCTCTGTTTGAATATATGAAAAATACAAAATGCACAATATTTGTGGCTCTTACAGTAAAAGACCTGACTTTAAATCTGTCAAATAGTCAATCTAGTCAAATATATTTTTATAAATGTATATTTTTAATATTTTAGATCTTAGAAATAGTATTTTTAATCTTGCTGCAAAACAGAGTAAGCAGGAATATTCAAGGTCAGGGTGTTACCTGCTGAGAAAGGTAAGAATGCCTCTTTGTTCACAAAGTTGCCATCCAAATCTAGGAAATGATCTGGGTTGAACTTCCAAGGGGTTGCCCAGTGCTCAGTGTCATACACCACAGAGTGCAGATTTGGCAGCACAAGCGTGCCCTGCAGGAAGCAGCAGAGATCTGATTTTCTGTAGATTTTCCTTCTCTCTGTGCCATATAAATGGCAAATATTAACACCTCAAAGAGGTAAGAAACAGGGGGGGTATCCTCTGTACCTTTTTGATGTGAAACCCCAGCAGAGTTGTGCTCCTCAGGCACTGTCGAGGGACCCCGACAGAGGTGACGTTGCTGTAGCGCAAAGCCTCGTGGATCACAGCGTTTGTGTAGGGCAGCTTCTTACGGTCCTCATAGCTGATGACGTGGGAGGCTTCCAGAACAGCCTCTATCTCTCTCTGAACCTTTTCTGCAGACACATGAAAATACTCTCATTTCCCATTCTGCACTCCCCCTCCTTCCCTCCTTTGTTTCCAGCGGATTTTTGTGTGAGAATGTTCTGTCTGAGGAAATAAAAGAATTTATGTTGCTGTGAGATGCGTTGGCATGTGGTTTGACTGCTGTGTAGGTTTCTGTTGATCAAGGAAGTGCATCTCCCTGAATCACAGGATGATGTCTCATTTAAGACACCTACTTGGTGATGAGGATAGTACAATTCTGTGTTTCAAAAAATGGATTAAAATTTGAAATGACAGGTATAATTTCCATTGTTTATAAATATGTATCAGATCAGGCATATTTTAAAACTTTTCTGCTTAGAAGGTTAGGAGGAGACTACGTTGCATATGAAATGTCTTTAACTTGTTATTCTGTCTCGCCAACCCCTTCTAGTGAGGTAAAACTGTGGCTACTGCTAATTTCTGCTAGTGTTGCTGGTGAACCAGATGGGGAAGCACCTGTTTGTTTCATTTATTGACCTTCCATTTTCTTGATCTCAGTTGCTGATATACCACCATTCATGTGCACAGCTGAGGTGTTTTTGGTGTCTTACAAGTGATTGAGCTAATACTTACACTAATGATGTTCATTGTGGTGTTGAATGCAGCTCTCTCTGGTAGTGCATTTGCTCACCTTGTATTTCTGGGTATTGTACCATGTAGAGCAGTGCCCAAAGAAGGGTGGTGCTTGTTGTTTCTGTCCCTCCCAGCAAAAGATCAACCACAGTCTGAACCATATTTTCTTTATTGAATGTAGAAGTAGGGTCATCCTTGGTCTGTAGGGCATATTCACAAGAAGACTATGAAATAGAGATTTCAGATATTTCACCAGTCACATAGAAACTGTCATTGTTTGATGATAACAGTATTCAGCCCATCAAATCAAACACCTTCAGTGCTGCACAAATAGAGTGTGCATGTAAAAATCCTTTGTCACTTATTGGAACAGCAAGTGTTTGTAATAGGCATTGAAGCCAAGGAAGGGAGAGTGTGATAAACAGATGCTTACTTTTGTTATTTGAGCCAGGTAGAAGTCAATGAGGTCCTGTGGATCACCTGTGTTCTGTCTCTCATGAGCCTGAACCTCCTCCATGACTAATCTGTGCATGAAGTCGTTGCATGCAAACACCTCCTGATGAGGCCCTGGGAGATGGTGCATGAGCCATGGGAAAGCATCGTACAGCTGTGGAGTTAAACAAAGAGGGTCAGATCCCAGCTCTGATTTCCTGATTATTGTCAAGTCACCACAATACATGGGCAACCTAATTGGGATGAGAGGCAACAGACACAAGTAAGAGAGGTGAAATACTGGGAACATGATTATATTTTACTTTTTGGATCAATACTTAATAATGTAACAGGGGTTCTGAAAATGCATGAGTAATTGAGTGCTGAATCTGACTCACAAACAGATTTTTCTCAACCTTGAATTTTTTGCTGTAATTTTTTGGGTTTTTTAGGCATCCCTTTATGAAGAACCTGATCGTCTTTTGCAATGCCAGTGTGCCAAAATCTGCACAAATTAAACAATAGCTAGGGTTTCAAGAACTTAAAAAATATTCTTCTTGGTGTGATGAAGTTGTAACTTGTATCTTTCTGTAGAAAGTGCAGAATAACTGAGATCTTGATGGTAATATGAATTGAAACAAGATTTCTTTTCAAAAGAGCAGCAATTTTAAGATTTGGTTCTTATTAACTGCCTTTTTAGATTTACAAGACTAAATGAAGGTGAAATTTTAGAAGCTGCTTTCATTTTAAGAACTAAGAATTTTAAATACACAG